CCCCAAAACCCCAAAACCCCAAAACCCCAAAACCCCTTTTATATGAGAAATTATTGAAATTCTTACAAGTGCCATTACCTCATTCTTAATCTACTAGAGCTCCAAAAGGTCCTCTTTGGAAGCTGTGCTTTCTCAACAGATTGAGATCTTCGTATGAATCTTCTGATAGGTGCTAAATATGTGTTCAAAATTTTACATGATTTCTCTTGGTTGTGGATACTAGGCACCCGGACTTGTATCCTTTTTGAAAGTGTGTCGTCTTTCTTCCTATTCACCAGGAATTTACTGAAATCAAACTGCTTAAGTTGATTGATTCTCCTAGCATTCAAGAATTTCTTATTCTCGGCTATAGCCTTCTTGATCGCAATTAAAGTCTTGATTCTTTTATCTTTATCTCATTGGTGATAATTTTCTGTCTTCTATAGCTCTTAATCTACTCAAACATACATTTTATGAGCCTAACATTATTAATGATCTTCATTTTGTGAGAGGCATTTTGAATTACTCTTTTCTTAGGTTCTATGATAATTTTCCCACGAGACTGAGCAGGCTCCAAACGGGTCCTGGAGCTTGTCAGACTCTTGGTTCCCACACCATGATTGTTAATACTAGAGTTTATCACCATAGTTGCATTCTGGAAGCTCCTGGAACTCTTCTGGTTGGATTTACTTCTTAATTCTCTCTGCTTGTTCTTATTTAAAAAGCATATAGGAGCAAGATCAGTGTATTTATCTGAATATTCAACTGTAAGAGGTCCATTTTCTTTTGGAATTAAATTTTGCACACTTCTAGAATAAAATTGAGGAAGTACTTCCAATCCTTGAACTTTAAGCGTAAACTTTGGTAAATATCCCGCCCTCGAATCTTAGAAGTTTGTTGGTTTTTGTACTCGCTCAGCTCATCAGATCGGTATCTACAAAATTTTAACCCAAAAATACCAGTTGCCTTCAGATTTTTGGTAAACATCAGCAGCTTTGATCTTAATAAAACTTGGAGAAGAGACACTGCTAACTCTCTTTCAAGCCTGAGAATACTTCTCCGGGCTCTTTGAGGTTGAAGATCATGCTCGGGATGTATCTGAGACTTTAATGATGCATGAGAAATGAGGAATTGTGTCCTCACCCTAGAATTATATTGAAACATACTTGGTATTCCATTTCCAAAATCAATTTTTATCTGCAAATTGGGGTTTTGGGGTTTTGGGGTTTTGGGG